ACCACTGTCGCCGGGAAAGATAACAGCCGAAGAGTGAGAGATACCTGAATCTAGATATTTTCCAGGATTAGATGTTTTCTTGAATACTTGCAGCACGCCTCCACTGCACTGTTCTCCGCAATCTTCTGAAACTGGCATCACGACTGCCCACAAGCTTTCGTTTCTTCTTCACATGTTCTCCCCCGTATCACCCTTGGACGCCTAACTTGTCGTTTCCATGAGCGTTCCACTCGAGTGCCTGGCGCCTGATGTCCCCGAATGGTCTTTTGGGTGCATGCCCAATCCATCCCCACTTCCTGCATGTCTGTTGAGCGATAGCTTATTGGTTGGTTCGTTCCAAAAGCTCCTTATTGCTTATTCTTACTGTTCTGGCCATCTGAGCTTCAGTAACGAGCGTAGACAGTTGTTGATGAATGTCCGTAATTTGTTGGAGATGCCTTTCGTCTCTGAACCATAAAGAAGCCCTGGTTTAACTGAATTTGTGTTGAAAATCCGGATCTTGCTCTCTATACTGAGTGCAGAGGATCTCCACACTGATTTTGGGTTGATAAAAGCCTGTCTTGCCTTTCCGATCCTGGCTGGCTTTGACGTCCTCGTCTGCGCCGCCGCCTGCAGCTGAAACGATGCTGCCTAGGTAGGTGCAAGTGAATGGGACTACTTCCTTCAAGTTCCTCTCGTTGGTAGTGATTGCAGCTTGTTCTTGTTGTTGATGGTGTTGGTTGGGTATCTTCACCACCTCTTTCTCCTCCACATTCACTTGAAGTCCCGTCTTCGCTGCCTCGCATCTTCTGTCAACTTGTTAGTTTTTACCTGTAAATGTTTAAGTTTGTGTGACATTAGACACAATTCATCTGCGAAATCCAGATCTTCTCCTGTGCTTTCTTCCCCTTTCCGGCGTGTGACCATCTTCTCGCTCCCCACTGTTTGCTGCGTGATCCAGTCCACCACAATCAGGAAGATCATGGGTGATAGTAGGTGGTAGCCTTGTTTAACTCCTGTCTTCACTTCAAAAGCGTCACCGAGCTTCCCGTTATGAATTACTTAGCATGTGGCATCTTCATACAGTTGTTGAGTGAGGCCGATAAATGTTTGTGGTATTCCGTAGTATGGAAGCAGTTTCCAAATTACTTCTCGGTCGACGCTGTCAAAGGCCTTCTCAAAGTCGACTAAGTTGAGGTGTAGATTTGACTGCCATTCAATACTCTGTTCTATGATGATCCGTGGTGTGGTGTTGCAATTTGGTCTGCACATGATTTGTACTTCATGAACCCAGCCTGTTCCGGACGTAGGATATACCAATACTACCCACATTTGAAGACTGAGCAGTGAAGGTCATTGAGTGCAGATTTTCTGGTCACGGCAAAATAGTCCACACACTGTGCAGGGTTTACCAACGCCATTCCCAACCTCTGGCCTTTCGAGCCTTGTCAGTTGATGAACCTTTGGTAGGATCTGTCCGGACTGATGAGTTTACTCGATAGAGAACCTCCAAGGTCTCGAAGGGTTTCGACGGATAACTTGCTCTGGAGGGAGGAAGCCTATCAGCGTTGGACTACTGGAAGAAGGACCTAAAAACACCCTCGGCCCTCTACTGATCCATGTCATGTTCTGTATTATGGGTTCATGGCAGGAATCAACTTGCCTAAAATTGAATACAATGAGAAGTCTAGGACTTAGGTTGCGTACCCGATTCTGAATGTACCAGCCCCACTAATTGTAAACCCACCTTCATGTCCAGATTTTTGAGTCTTATTCGAATGGTCTGAGTTCCCGGCCCTGAGTATCGTTTGCAGTTGATAGGACTTCCTAATGAGTCTCACGTTAGGGCCTTGGCCTCGAGCCGGGCTAGGACGGAAACTCATTTAAGCAGTCCGACCATTTTGTACACAAATGCACATAGTCTCTTAAGCAAGTGGACTGAGCTTAGTAATGTGATAGGCAACAAAAGTCCTGACATTATTGCAATCTCAGAAACTTGGTTCTCTTGGATCAGTGACTGTGAAACACACTTATGAGAATTCGTCTCTTTTAGAAGTGACAGGTTAGCACGCAAAGGTGATGGTACCATCCTTTACTTCAAGCATACCTTAACTGTAAAAGCAGCAGAAACGGCTACACAGAGAAGTGGGACATGTGAAATGCTGCTCTGCCGACTAGGGTACAAGGGACAAGAAGTTAACGAATTCGTAACATGTCGAAGCCCTGATTGTGAAGCAGCAAACTTTCTACTGAGTAAGCCGACCCTCTGGACAGATAAATGCCGATGTCTAGTTGTAGGAGACCTCAACGTACTATCAGTTGACTGGGATAGACTAACAACAAAAGCACTACGTAATTCGTTTGACCACCGGTTAGTGGAAACATAAATTTCCTTAATCCTTATACAACATATTAGGACAGCAATCAGATATGATCATCAGCATGCTCCATAAGTTCCGGACTCAGTATTCTCACACACAGATGATGTATACTTCATCATTAACTTAGCAGCCTCTTCGGAGGACTGGACAGTCAGTTCAGAAGCCTCAGTTGAGGGAGCGTGGTACTCTTTCAAACAGTTGTGTGCACGAGTGACTCAACTGTTCATTCCATGGACTCCCCAGAGGGAACGGAAACACCGTCCTCCGTGGATAAACCACGAAATCCGAATCTTGCTACGACGTGAGAAAGTGTTGGAGTCTTGCCAACCACTTCATTACTCCCGAAATGATTAAGCATCACAAAGAAGCCCGCAATAAATATATCGCTGCTATTCGCCAGCCTCGAATATGCTTAGAAACACGTCTTGCCCAGGTTGCATTGCAACATCCCAAGAGGTTATTTTCTCATATAAACTATAGAAATAAGATGTGTCGTGGTATACCCGCCCTAATCAATGGGACTGAAACTGTCTCATTAAAGACGACAGGGAAACAGAAGCGACGGCTAGATATTTCGCTGAGGTCTCCACACAGGAATCTTCTGTGGACACTTATTCAACAGTAGAAGCATTGATATCCAACCGACATTAAGTAGTCTCGATGTAGGAAAATCAACGGGACCGGATGAGCTGCACCTAAGGCTGCTCAGAGAGCTTGCACTCATTGTAGTCGGCCCACTGACTACCATCAGTGACTACTCTCAGTGAAGGCACACTCTACTGTGACTGATTCTAGACAGCTCCCATCAAACTACAAACCCATAAGTTTGACTAGTACTGTAGTGGAAATCCTGGAAAGAGTAGTCAAGAAAGCCATTATAGTCCACCTAGAGAGTAACACTCTATTGTCTCGTTCACAGCACGGTTTTCGTAGAAATTCTTTTTGCGTTCGACAAAGCACTTCATTCCAGGTTCCTCGCGAAACTGGAAAGTTTGAGAATCACTGGAAGTCTGTGCGCATGGATAAGGGACTTTCTTGATGGTGGGGGATAAAGAGCTAGGATCAATTCTCCGCTTGGAAGCTGGTAGAGAGTGGAGTGCCACAAGGCACAGTCCTGGGTCTCTACTGCTTCTCCCATACTTAAATGAGCCGTCACAAATCATGAAACCCACTATGGTTCTCTACGCTGATGATGTAAAAATCTGGGGGGGAATTAGGAACGTTTGGGATATACGTGCGCTTCAGGCAGACCTGAACAGCTTGCTTACCTGGTCAGAGAAGTGGCCGATGCCTGTCAATGCAGGTAAATGTGTGAGCATGCACTTGGGGCACACAAACACGACAACACCCACAATACTGATGCGACTCCTCCATAGTCACTACTGACACACAATGACCTAGGAGTCACAGTGAGTTATGACTTGAAAACCAAGGTACACTGTCGATTGGTGGCAGATCGGAGTTTTAGGACTCTCTGGACATTACTTAGAAAGCTTACGAAAATAAGTGGTGACATGTTAACCATCCTATACACATCCTTAGTGAGGTCTACATTAGAAAGCTGTACACAGGTGGCTAATTCTTGTCTGAAAGGTGACGCAGACCTACTAGGAAGAGTCCAGAGGGCAGCCACTCATACGATCTCTGAGATGGCTGGTCTCACCTATGAAGACCGACTTAAGGAGCTGAACATCTTCACTTTGTCCTATCGCAGATAGAGGGGAGACCTAATCATACCATACAGGATTCTAAGAAATGACCTCGGACATGACCTATCTTCTCTTTTCCTTCCCACTAGGTCGGAACACCTCAGAGGACATAGTAGGAGACTACGAAAGTGAGGGACGAACGTAGTCTCCGCACAGTACTGGTCTTAGCGTTGAGTAATCAGTGCCTGGAACCGACTTCCAGAAGAAGTGGTGTCCGCATCTTCAGATGATTCATTCTAAAGGGGATTAGACAAGTACAGAAATCTACTGGAACGGATTAATATTGACTCCCAGCCTCCTATCATCACACAACAAATCTGAGGCTGAATCTTTTTAGGCGTCAATTTCGAGATCCTTCTTACCGTAGTCTTTTTACAACTAATTGTTTAGTTTGAGCTCTTTTTAAAAAATCTTATTATACTTAGTTCTGGTGATTAAAATAGTGACAGTCCCAAGGTTGTGTCACATGTTTCGCAGTTGCTGCGAAACGGACTGTTCATTAGTGTGTTGTTATAACTCGAATGCCTGCAATGATAACAGAAGCGGTGAGTTCATTGTGAAAGTAGGTCATAGCTCATCACCCGAGAACACCGATTGAAGTTCCTGCTAGACATCATTAAGATGCCTCTGGATACTGTTGCTGTGTCGGGCTAGGTATATATGTACATGTAAATACGTCGAGGCAAATGTGAAAATACAAAAATTAGTTCAATTTTATCAGACACGTTGGTAATGCAGCTGTTTTTTTGTCAGTGCACGATAAAATAGTTCTCAATGATTAGTACAGGACTTTATTCCACTACTATCATTTCTGAAAACGATATGATGCAGCCAGAGTACAATTGGTTTTAACTGGCTACCTAATTTCGGTGAGGATACAGATTGACCTTGACCGGCGTAACAGTTACAAAGATAGCGTCAGCATGTAGTTATGGCGAGTTCCGAAGAGGACTCCAGGTTTCAGCCAGTTGACTTGGCGACAGATCTAAGGACGTATAGACCAAAATATCCTTTGCCTCCAGATCTACGGGATATTCCTACAGAAGAGACTTTCTGCGCATATTGTGGTGTCAGCTACCTGATTTTAAATGAGATAAAGTTTCTGGAAGAGAAGTCTGAAAAATTAAAGAGGGAATTGGAACTTGTCAAGCAAGACACAAAAGTCTCACTGAGTGTTCCATGTAACGGTAAACATTGTTCGGCATCATTTGACGAACATCAAATACTTGAAGAGTGAGTTCTGTTCATGAACTTGAAATTCATGTTATCGAAATCGAAAACAGTTGTTTTTCTTGAGTTCTACATCTTTGATATCTATCTTCCAGATTTTATTCACTTAGTATGTCAAGGTCATTCGGATGATGGTGTTCTGTCTATGGGAAAAGTGGGTATTCATGGAGTCTTCCTTTTTATTGTACAGGTAAAGACCGAATGGTTTATGTTGACTGATATACTTTTCCCCACTGGTTCTTTCCTTTCTCAGTTTCAGTGGTACCTCACCAAATAGTATTTTCTGTTAGTCATTTTCTTGTGAGAACGATCCGCCGGGTGATGTTCAAAAGTTATCTTTCAGTGTATGAGCATTAAGACGATAGGTTTTTTCAGTTCTTGCGGTATTTCTCTCGATATTCAACTTCTTTCGAAAAGTGTCTACCTGGTGAGTTAACACTGGCTGCGTTTAGTTGTAAACTATCAGCTCGGAGGATAGACGTCCGTCTATTAGTTCGTCTGACCGTAGCTAGTGGATCATCCTTTGGTTATCAGTCGTAGGCGTCACTTTTCGCAGCATAAAAATCTATTTAGAAATCCCTTCTCACAGTGGGACAAGCAAAAAATACCTGTTTGTCTCATTCACTCTCCACAGTAATAGTTGGTTTGTTGTGTCGTCAGGCCTGTGACAACTCACTTGACACGTTTCAGAATGTCCAGTATGTGTTAGGTGCAATACATCAGGCACGATGTTGCACGTGGAGGCTTGGACATTCTTCGGATCAAAGAAATTATTGGCTTTGGCTAGAGAAGTGCTGTTACGCATCGTCTTTCTCAATTGTTGTGTTAACAAATATGATTTTTCCCTGTGTTTATATCGTGATGTCATCTAGAAGGTTTTTCTCTCTCCTCGAAGGATTTTTTTTGTTATTCATACTACTGGATGCCTGCGCATCTAAACACAACATTTTGCTTGTCTAGGTCATTTGATAAAGCTGAAAATGTGTTCTATTTGCTATTTATTTAGTCTATGTCTTCAATGCGTTCAAAACATTTTCCTACGTGGTATTATTTGTGTTAGGCATTACATTTCGCATCACGTGTCTACATCTATGCATGTCACCATAATATACGCAGTGAATATGATTCAAGAAATCTGTGTATGGTTATGAGTAATATTTTAACTTTTCCCACGGTTTAGAGTGTAACAATTAATCTCCCGTTTATTGACCCCTTTACATGCGTAATAAACATTTGAACATCTGACTATAGGGCATAGGATAAAAGCTTGGGAACTGTGATAAATTGCGATTCCATTTAAATAAACCGCGTCTAGAACGTTTCACAGTAAATTTTACTGTCTCATTGTGATGCATCAAAGTAACATCTAAAATAGAATTACTGTACAACAACGAGGTATTTTACTCACTCAGCACCTCTTCTATCTCCTTCAAGCCTAGAAGGCGTAAGAATTCGAAGGCTAAAGAATTCCTTTGATTTTTTTAGCTTTGGACTTGCCGGTGCAGGGTTAGTGAAGCCAAGTTATGCTTTGGTCTTGGGATTCTAATATTCTGTACACATGCTTGGTTGCCCATATGATTGCAGGTTGTGCTTAACGCAACATCTAAGTTTTATTTAAAAATACAAGTAGACGTTAGGGTAGCGACCTTATGCTACTGGGAGTTGGCGAACCCTGTCTTAGTTTCACTCCTGCTGAAATGATTTTTCAGCTCCCACACGGATGATTTGACTATGATATCTGGGTTATCTTGATGTAAAAGCCTTAATTCCGAACTGTATATGTACCTGAAGAGTTAGACGCCACTATCAAAATGCCGCAACGATGTTTAAAATAATGAATGTTTAGCGTATACAGGGAAAATAACTTGGGACTCTTAAGCATCAAAGCTTCTGGAGTAACTGAAAAATACGAATGTCAAAGTAACACGACAAAATGTATCGAATCAGCTCATTTCTGATGGTCTTTCAAAGAGATGGCAACATATCTTACATATGTGACGATTTTCCACAAGTAGGGCACTACAGTATGCTCGAAACTAATTTTCCTAGAGGATGAGTAAGAAATACCAAGTAAAAGTTTGATATCAGCTCAGTAATTTGCAGCCGTTCTATCGAATAGAGAAATGTCGCAAGGCAGAGCTTTCGACTAAGCAAGCCGGTTCGTTGATTCACAGATTAACTACAAATCTGAAGTATGCGTAAGTTCCAAGTATGGCCTAAACTCAATTTTGATTTCACTTTGAAACTTTCAACTTCTGGATTTTAGGCGGAATCGAATAATAGGCATCTCTTGTCATTATTTTGGGATCTATAGCCATGGATTTATACCGTGTTTATGCAACATATGTACTGGATCCGAATGCGGTTATTCATGTGACCTTATCTGGCCAATGTGGGGAACCTGCGAAATTCGCTTTCCGAGCACCCAGGGATTCAATGGCTCACTCGCGCAGATTTAGTTGTGTAGGCATAGCGTTAAGTTTTAGAGGAGAAGGCGCACATCCCGACTGGATACCAGTCAACAGCCGTGTTTATACTGTCTGATTGAATGGATCTGTAAGAACTAGGAAGGATCCTGCCAGTTTCAGATACCTGGTCATAATTTCCGTTTACGCGCTCACCGACTGCAGTTTGGGTGATGCAAATGATGAATTCTATCAAAAGCTGTCAATTTTGTTATATGAAGGAAAACATTCATATATAGTCATAGTAGCAAACAACTTCAACCTTTGCAGTTTTATTCATACAATCATTTGTTTCTGGCCTGCATTAACTCCAAGCATAAAGAGATAAACTGTCTCTTTCCTGGTTCCCCGAATTTAAACCGACGGTGGACACGGATATTGCTATGAGCTATTGTTGGAGGGAATTGGGGGGGGGATTTCTGTTACATCTGGATTACCCACATGCACTCCGTTTACGCGTTATTAAGGTCACGTTCATGTTTACGTTTTAGCTGTCGGTGGTTACTACCTTGATATAGTGGTCAGGCTTGCATATCACGGTGACCCAACGGACTCCACTGATGAACTGCTTGTTCCGTCGAGGTCCTTCGTGACCATAAAACTCTACTGTATAGTGATTATATAAAAAGAAGGTTCTGTTATAGTCTAAATTTTTATGCTTTGATGGGTGTCCGAGGGCGCAATTAGCCTGCTGGCTGAATAAGGTGGGGTAGTAGTAAGAGCTCTTGAGTGGCCAGCAGCGCTACGTTGATCCTCCCTTTCCCATAGGAATAAGGCTTAGAAAATGTTGGCCGTTAAAATAGCATACTCCACTCTATCCCATAGCAAACTGCTGCTGATGGTGTAGGGTTCGTAGTCGAAGTTGACACTAACAAGGTTAGATCTCAAACTTCTAAAAAAGATGTATGACTTACATAAGACAGATGTCCCCTGGGCTTTGCGGTCACGCACTGACTATTCTTTTTTAACTACTTCAAGAAGAAATGGCCCTCTACAGTGTGAATAACCGGGAAGTTTCAATGGACCTCATAGCTTTTTCAGGACTCAGTTTGTTTTTGATCACCGTCCACATTCCACTTCTTTACCTTTCAATCCTCAGTCACGTCTCTTGGTCAGCATTCTTACCTTGTGTTTAATTTCTTCCAGCTCTGCAGCTCTTAACAGCGATCTGAGGTCACAGAACAGCATCCTTGGTCGCCTGAAACTGCGCTCCAAATTACATTGAAGCTATTAATGTCCAATATCTCCATGAAAATGGTAAACAAGCTTCGCTAGTCAAAATCCTATCACACTGGGCCATGGATATGTGCTGTGTTCATGGGACATGCATAAAGGACCAAAGTGTGCTTTTTCACTTGACCCCACCTGGTCAGTATCATGAATCCGCGAAATTCATTCTTCGAGTTTTTGGATATTCGACGGCTGGTTCTCGCAGTCTTGCAGGTGTAGGTATAGCATTGAGTCATGAAGCAAAACGTTCTTTACTCAACTGGATCCCATTTGATAGCTGCATATGAGCTTTTCGATTGCATAGCTCAGTGAGGTCTAAAAAATTGGTGAAACTCCTCGTTATCGCTACGATCTCCGCTTGCATACCCACTGACAACCGCAGTTCGACAGAAGTGAGAGGCAAGTTCTACTGAAGGACTATCTAGCGTCTTACTGAAAGCCAAACGTTCAGACTTGTTAGTTCTTGCAGGTGGTTTTAGTGCATAAGTGGGTAGCCTAAGTCAGGCAGAAAGGCACTTGACTGGGACTTTCGTAACACCAGTTGAACGAACAGATAACAGCGATCGCCTACTACGACTGTGCTCAGAAAACCGTTTATTTTCTGGTCTACACGAACTTTAAACATGAAGAGAGACATTTTCTGATGAGTCTTCTATCGATCTCAACTCAGTAATAGAGATAGAGGTCTCATTGCCATCAGTTATCTCTGGAGATCGGTGGAAGGTTGAAGCACGTGTGTATCTAAGTGGAAGTAGAAAAAATGCGGCAACGAGACCATTGGGAGTGCAGCTCGACTATGAGATCGCTAAGGTTGGTTTCAGTGTAAAACTGTCCCGGTGGTTATCGAAACGAAACAGTATCACTCTTCGTGAACTTTGGCGTCATCTCCAGTCTGCTGTGAAAATAGCCTTCAAGACCATGAATGACGCAGAGAGTGGTTAGAAAAACTCAGTGGATCTCAGCAGCTTCTTCCGAATTAATGAATGTAGGCAAATGAATCCCTTCAGGCTCCAAGGGTAATGATGTGCACTGACTGACTGACAGTCAAAATCAACCTAAAACCCCGCAATCAAGTGTATCTGCTCAAGTTGCCATACTTCCCAGTTGTACACAAAGAACTGGTGGATAGGAAAAAAGTGATATCAAAGCAGATAAAGTACTGTGAGAAAATAAACAACTCTAAGATAAAGTGGAAATATTCAAGCTTTAGGAGGTGTTAAGGAGTGGATGCATCTGCTCTATTGAGACCGATTTCCAGCTATGTCACCAAGACTCCTCAACCACTGATTTCTTTCTTCTCAGGGATCC